GCCTCCTCGGAGGAAGAGGAGGGGGAGCGGGAGATGGGGAGCCAGGTGCACAGCCGCGCCAGGGCCCTTTCACTTTCCCCGCCGCTGCCACCGCCCCAGGAGGTGCGAGCCAGCCGAAGCGCTGCTGGCCCGGGGACGAGCGCCCGCCACCTCCTCCTCGGAGGAAGAGGGGGAGGTGGAGTGGGAGATGGAGAGCCAGGCGCACGGCCGTGCCAGGGCCCTTTCCCTTTCCCCTGCCGCCACCGCCCCAACCATCGCTAACTGAAAATCGCCTATAGGGGCCATCGCTAATCAAAGCGTAAAAATGCCCCGAAAAACTCCTCGCTATTCGAGGCGCTCGTTATTCGAGGCACCACTGTATTCAGCTTTTAATTGCAGTGTTGGCACTTTGAAATAAATAAATTGATTTTGTGTTGCAGTTTGGGTACTCGGGCTCAAAAAAGTTCACCATCACTGACCTAGCCCAACAGTATTTATGGTTGACATAGAATAACAATATAACTCTTCTGTCTATTCACCTTCTTGATGTAGGGAGTCAAGAGATAAAAGGAACAACAGGTACGTTTGGCCCTGGTTTTCAAAACGAAACAGGACAAAGGCTAATAGAGTTTTGTCAAGAGAACAAGATGGTCATCACAAAAACTCTTTCACAACAACACAAGAGGCGACTCTACACATGGACATCACCAGATGAGCAATACCGAAATCAGATTGATTATGTTCTCTGCAGCCAAAGATGGAGCTCTATACAGTCAGCAAAAACAAGACTTGGAGATGATTGTGGCTCTGATCATCAGCTTCTTATAGCAAAACTCAAGCTTAAACTGAAGAAAGTAGGAAAAACCACTGGGCCACTCAGGTATTATCTAAACTAAATCCCTTATGAATACACAGTGGAAGTGAAGAACAGATTTAAGGAACTCGATTTGGTGGACAGAGTGCCTGAAGAACTATGGATGGAGGCTCATAAGATTGTACAGGAGGCAGCAACAAAAGCCATCCCGAAGAACAGGAAATGCAAGAAAGCAAAGTGGCTGTCCAATGAGGCCTTAGAAATAGCAGAGAAAAGAAGGGAAACAAATTGCAAGGGAGATAGGGAAAGTTACAGAAAATTGAATGCAGACTTCCAAAGAATAGCAAGGTGAGACAAGAGGGCCTTCTTAAATGAACAGTGCAAAGATATAGAGGAAAATAATAGAAAGGGAAAAACCAGAGATCTGTTCGAGAAAATTGGAGATCTTAAAGGAACATTTTGTGCAAAGATGGACATGATAAAGGACAAAAATGGTAGCGACTTAACAGAAGCAGAAGACATCAAGAAGAGGTGGCAGGAATACACAGAGGAATTATACCATAAAAACTTGGATGTCCCAGGCAACCCAGATAGTGTGGCTACTGACCTTGAGCCAGACATCCTGGGGAGTAAAGTCAAGTGGGCCTTAGAAAGCATGGCTAACAACAAGGCCAGTGGAGGTGATGGCATTCTAGATGCATGTGGAGTGCAGAAGATCTACTCTTTTCCTCCATTGTATAGGGAAGATTGCTGGCTACTAAGTACATGAAAGTACATGCTGGCTTAGTACATGCCGGCTACTAAGTGCAGTACATATGGAAGTGAGAGCTGGACCATAAAGAAGGCTGACTGCCAAAAATTTGATGCTTTTGAACTGGTGCTGGAGGAGACTCTTGAGAGTCCCCTGGACTGTAAAAAGAACAAACCTATCCATTTTGAAGGAAATCAACCCTGAGTACTCACTGGAAGGACAGATCCTGAAGCTGAGGCTCCAATACTTTGGCCATCTCATGAGAAGAGAAGACTCCTTGGAAAAGACCTTGATGTTGGGAAAATATGAAGGCAAGAGGAAAAGGGGACGACAGAGGATGAGATGGATGGACAGTGTCATCAAAGCTACCAACATGAATTTGACTGAACTCCGGGAGGCAGTGGATGGCCTGGCGTGCTCCGGTTCTTGGAGTCACGAAGAATCGGACATGACTTAATGACTAAACAACAACAAGGAAGCCAGCTGGGAAGGAAAAATCATGGAGCAAATCTGCCTTGAGAGCAGATAAACCTACCTCATTACCTTGTTTCCCCAAATATCTATTCTCTAAACTCCAAATACTCCATAATTCTAAATCAACATCAAGAAAATTCCTCAAGGTTGTTCTCCACATTTGAGACAGACAGACATAATAGAAGTTAGTGAAGAAGATGTAATCATATTTTCAGTAAACCAGTTGTTAGTTCTCTCATATTTCAAATACTGTAATGTTAGTGCAACTCTTGCCTTTTAAAATTAGTTTTAGTTATTTTGATGTCTTTTTGTTGATCAGTATGTTTAATGCTGATTTTGTAAAATTGTTATGCTTAATGCGTTTTTAAAGTGTTGTTTGTTTTATTGTGTAGTGAATCACCCAAAGTGGCCTTGGTAGCCAGATGGGTGGCATAGAAGTTGAATGAATGAGTGAATGAATGAATATAGTATCACACTTGTCTAGAGAAATATAAACCAGAAATAAAGATTCTCAGTGCTTCTTCTAACCACCCTTCCAAAAATATGTCTTTCAAATACTTTAGAAGATATACTTTTAATTCATATATACTCATCATGTAATGCAAGAGCTTCTTTAGGTCAGAAGTTACTTAATTATAAACTCTTAATTGTTAGAAAATGTAAGACTTTTTGCATTTCAGTAAACACAGGGAAATGTTTGAAGTTCGTAGTGTATGGCAGGATTCTCTTAAGTCAGTGGAAACAAGTTAGCTGAACTAAGTTATAAGGTTTCTAAGTGTCAAGCTAAACTGATTCTACATCAGCAGACGGCGCTCTAGTCCATATTCATTTATGACTAGTCCATACAGTGGACCCTCTACTTACGGAATTAATCCGTATTGGAACGGTGGCTGCAAGTCAAAAAGTCTGTAGGTCGAATCTCCATTGACCTACAATGCACTGAAAACCGATTAATCCCATAACTGGCAGTTTTTCTTCTATGTTTGTTCCATTTTGGTTTTTTTCT